GGAGACCCAGGCAACAACTTTATTTAAAGACTCTTTGATGAGTCTTTGGACGAAAAATTCAAAAATTGATCGACATCATATGTTCAATTTTTATCCCCCTGATCTGTTAATATAAATATATACGGTCAAACCTCGTTATAGTGAAGGTGTTCGGGCTATTCGTGAAAAATTTTCAAAAATTCACTACAGTCAGACAGTAGAGAGAATTTATATAATCCGTGCACTTATAGAACGTGCACTGAGGGAGGTCTGACTGTATATCGAGAGGATTTAATATATACTGTTTTCGAGCTCAACTTCACTATATCGAGAGTTGACTGTAACACTTGTTTTCATAACAAAAAAATTAGATATAATCTCTTAAAGTTTTTAATGACTGGAATTAAAAATCCAATTATCGGAAAATCAATTTGTCCCTTTTCTACTGACTCCGCCCCATATATTTAAATATTAATGCAACAGGATCAATACCATCACTATATTCCAAGATTCCTTCTTCGTAATTTTGCTATTAATATTTGTGAGCAATGAAGTTATTCAAACAAAAAAAACATAAACGGAACTTTAGGAATAAGAATAAGGAAGAAGCACTTCTCCAAACTTATGATAGAACGTTCAGTCAACTGGGCGTCTCTTTAATCGCAAAAACCTATGGATACGCAAACATGTACAAAAATCTTGATCATGAAGACGTGATGCATGTGGAAAACAAACTGGGAAAGCTTGAAGAGCAAGCATCAAAAGTGGTCAGAGATATTATGAAGGCTTCTCAAGTGGAAAGTCAGATTGTTTTGCTTAGGAGAGATCTTGAAGATCTACGTAAGTTCCTCTTCATCATGAACTATCGAAACCGTTCTCGATGTCTCAATTTACCAATAAAAATTTTGACATTACCACTGGGTTGATGGTAGAAAAATTCATGCAACAGCACAAATTACAAATTGCTCAAGAAGTGTGGTTACAGAATATCCGTGAAATACTAGAGACCCCACATGAAGATATCAAAGCCGACTTGCGAATCTTTCTGGCAGATAGGAGTTACGCATGGTTGATTGTTTTCTCGTAGTTTGGCAAGCTGGTGAAAATGATGAGTTTATAATAACCAGCAACGGATTTGGAATCTTCGAAGGAATGAATGGATCCATGGGGATTTTAGGTCCATTTCAATTTGCCTACCATTGGTTTTACGTCATCTCTCCAAAGCTAGTGTTAGTCCTTTGTCATGCTTCGTTCCGAACAGAAATTGGATCCGACGCTATGCAAAAGCTTCTCTGATTTAACCGTTCGAAATTTGAAAACGCTCCTCATCCACCAGCAATTTCGACATATGTGGCAACTCCGAAATATGTACCAATTAATGAATATGGTCGTAGCACTGACAGAAATATGTTCACTGCATTTGACTCGTATCTAAATAGCATAGGCCTCGAAAGACGGGACGATGACACATTTACCTTTCCCTTTGTCAAAGTCACTTCGGCCACCGTTCATCTCGTAAACTCTTTCTTGCTTAATGAGGCTAAACCAGACCTAGTTCTGACTTTCCTTTCCCGTTCGTACCTTTATAAGACAATTGTCAAGTACTATAAACACCACGAGGAACTTGGGATAATAGACCAGGACTTCTCGACTTTGAAAAGGAAATTATTCATGGTGTTAAACAAAACTCACGAGGAAAACTTGAATCTCCGGAAAAACATCTCATCTAGACGTACATGTAATTGGAATGTACGCGTCAATATCAATCACATAAGAGGCAAATGTTGCATATATTGCTCTTACTTTTATTCATTTTTTTTACATAAGGCCTTATAAGCCCTAGCATGATATGTGGTAATGACTTGTGATGTCAGACATCGACACTGCCATAATATCTGTGGGAGATCATGATGAAAAACAGATTATGGTGAAAATTTTGGCCAAAATTGTGCAGATCATGAGATAATTTGGCCAGAATTATCTATAATTTCTTATAATAAAAGAGCAATATTTTGAAAATAATTATAAATGCATAAAATATATAACTTAAATTAATTTTGCAATATTTATATTGCTATGTATTATGTAAATTATGAGTATAACTGTTATTCATAGTTTATTATAATAGATATTGCAAATTTTCGCCATAATCCGTTTTTCATCATGATCTTTAGCCAAAAATTATGGTAATTTATCATGCCAGGCTTTATAAATTTTTTTGACCTTCAGCCAATCAAGTACTAGATTTCTAACTAAGTAATACACATCTTGGCATGATAAATTTGGTGCATTTTATTATGACCGATGTTTGGTATTTCTTGGCGTGATAAATTTGGTGCATCTTATTATAACCAATGTTTGGTATTCAAAGGATTAATTATTCTAATATGAAATTCCAGCATTAACGTCCAAATATAATAAAATAACGATAAATCCTTATATAAAGTTGCTTGCCGCAATTTATTTTTGATGTCGTAATTGGTTTATTTATATTAAAATACTTGCCGTATCAGTAATATCAAAACAATTACGGCTGTCTGGACATGTATTGAGAACCAATGTTAAAAAAGTTAGAAATAAGGAATTGTAGACTATTCATACTTTCTAATTTGTTCTCCATTTTCTAACTCTAATTTACGTATACGCGGCGCTTCTGTTGATTATTCTCGCGCTTCTTGTGCTTTTCTAATTCTTTTCACGTACATAATTGTTTTATGCGTCCTTGTTCCCCTTTCACGTTTCCTCCCTCTTTGTTAAGCACGTATTTCTGCAGGAGAGCTTTGGATTGGGTAATCATACTGGTTGATACATTCTGTTATTAGCGTTAGTAATTAAGAATTTTAATATCGATATGGAAAAAAATAATTCTAATTGAAATAAACTGGTTTTATGCGAAACAGCTAGACCTTAATATCGATACATTATGCCGCTTGAAATAACCGCACGTAAAAAAAATTACATTTTATCCAGCCAATTAGTGCAAATTTTGGCAGTTGAGTATTTGGGTCTTCAACTTGAACAAACGCGCGTATTGTATTTCATTAAATCAAAATTACGCAGTATATTATTTAAACCACTGAAATTATCTTTATCATGACCATATACAAACCAATTAGTTTCCTCGTATTGAGTAGGTCGTGCCTAAATTTGCATTATTTTGTGATAGGAACGACAAAATAACAACGATGTATTCTTTCGCACTCCGTAAAGTACTAGCTAAGAATACAATGAGCCTTCGAGTCAATTTTACTACACACTCAAAGGGCTTTGTTCTATGAAGCAGTATCAAATATAACCTGGCATCATAATCGACTTCAAACATACACCAGATAATTGCAAAAGCGACGTTCTTATGACTTGCATTTCGTAACGAGAATAACCATTTCTCACCATCAAATATATTTAATTCTTCTGCATTTGATCACAGCAGTTTTTCAAGAGTGGAAAACTCGTAATCTTTACATATATTTTCAATTAGGAAATTAACGGAAAAATTAAATTAGCTGAAATAATGAGTCTGTCACTCATTATATACGGCATAAATGTATATTTATAAGATTAATTCTGCTTTTAATTAATCATGCATTTTGCTCAAGAGAATCTTTTGTTCTTAATATGGTTTTGTCTGATACATACAATTTCTTCAATTTTGTATCCGTCACATTATTCTTATTTCCATTTCCACCTTTATGTCTCCTAAATTCTATTTATCTCAACCCTAACCGCTTGATTAAACGCCATCATAAATGAGCACCCATTTTTTTCTGCGCAAGAAATAGTCAAACCTTTAACCTATGAATACATGTTAATTCAGTCTAATACCTTTAATCAGTCTAATAATAATTGTATTCTTAAAGGAATCTTTAAATAATCCTTGAATATTATAATATATTCTAAATCATATCGGTAACTATCATTTATTACAAAAAATCTTTTAGTGCAAGATCTTGAAAGTTGTCTTAATATCAATGATTCCTGGAATCAAAAATTTCATAAAAAATTAATTGTGGATTGCAAATTTGAAGATAAAATAGCTGTTAAAGCAATTAATTCCAAATTCAGGTATTTCAGATATTGCAATATTAGCAAGAAGCTTGCCAGAAAAATATATTTGTATGTTACTAGAATATATAAATCCAATTATTTTATAATAAAAGAACTTAGTGCAGATGCAACAGATACTGACAAGAAAATAATAATAAGAAAATGGCTTTGTAATGAAGAAATTTCTATTTCTTTTCCAGATAACACAATTTGAACAAATATTTTTTGATTTAAAATTGCAAAATAATTCTTTATTTTGATATTTAGAATAATTATATAAGCACTTCTTAGTTATTAATTGATTTGAACATGAATTGGTTTTAATAAAAGTGAAAAAAAGAGTTAATAAATATAGAAAAATTTTTTTAAGTACATTTTTCTTGGAATTATATTAAAAATAAAATAAAATAAAATATGCATTTAAAATATATATAATAAATAAATCACAATCATATAATACTTATTTGTTATTATATTATAACATATTATAATTAAAATTTTATAAGTTATAATTAAGAATACTTGCTAAAATTTCTTAGTAATTACCAAAATTTTGCTAAAATTATAATAAATTATTAATAAATAAAATATCAAATTCTGCTAAGTTTTGAAACTGTTATAACTAAAATTTTATTGAAATTCTAATTAACAATTAGTATATAATCTATTAAACTCTGTCAAGATATTTTTGAAAAAGTTTTGACAAATATCCTTAATTATAATTAATTATAATATAATAATATTTTATTTGTTATCATATTATAATAATTAAAAAATTATTTTTAGTCATAGTATATATTTAAAAAGAGTGTATATAATATATATTTATAGAAAGTATATTAAAATAAAATATATACTTATATTTATTATTATAATTAAAAATTATTAATTATTATTATTAAATTATATTTAGTTATATTAAAGAATAACATATTATATTTAAATATATTAAATAGTATTAAAATATATAACTTTTTAAAAAATAATAATATTTGTAATTGGTTTATTTAATAAATATATTATTAAAAGATTTTTATATTCATTAATAAATAATAATTCAGTTTGATATATTACTATAAATAGTATTTTATTATAAATAGAATAATTAATTAATTAATAACAATAATAATTAATTATAAATAATAATTATTATTAGCAATTAATTATAATCCTTATTAATAATAAGTAATAAAAATATTAATAATTGATTATTAATAAATATAATTAATAATTAATAATTAATAATTAATTATTAATAAATAAAATTAATAATTAATTATTAATATTAAATAATAAGAAAATCAATAATTAATTATTGATAATTAATTAGTAATTTTCTTATTATTTAATATTAATAAAAATTATAATTAATTATTAATACACATCCCTATATTATATTACCAGAAATTGAAAAAAATATAGTAAAAAATAGTAAAATTGATATTATTACTTTATATTAAAATTTGTTATTTTATTAATAAATATTTTTTATTTTATACTAAAATAAAGATGATAATCTATATTTTTAATATATATTATTTTAGAATATTCTAGAATTTTTTAGAATTTTCTGTTTACTTGTAAATATAAAAAAAATTTTTTTATAGTTAAAATTGAAAAAAAATTGCAATTTTAATTATAAAAAATTTTTTTCTATGTTTATAAGTGAACAAAAATTCTAAAAAATTCTAGAATATTCTAGAAGAATATATATTAAAAATATAAGTTATCATTTTTATTTTAGTATAAAAATAAAAAATATTTATTAATAAAATAACAAATTTTAATATAAAACAATAATGTCAATTTTATTATGTTTTACTATATTTTTTTTCAATTTCCAGTAATATAGTGTAGGGATGTATAAATATAATTGATAATTAATTGTTAATGAGCATAATTAACTATTAATTATAATTCTTATTAATTATAAATAATAAGAGTATTGATAATTAATTATCTATAGAAATAATATAGTTAGTAATTAATTATTAATAATTATAAATATATTAAATAACTTTTAAATATTATATTTATTTAATTAATATATTATATAATTAAAAAAATAATATATTAAATCAATTTTTATATATTTAATTTTACTTTAATAACTAATAAAATATAATAATTAAAATTATTTGAAATTGATATTTTTAATTCAGAAATATTAAATAAACTAATTTAATTAATTTTTATATAATTTTATTAAGCATAATTATGTATATAATCTAATTTTTTGATATAATTTCATTTGAAATTACTTTTATTTAGTAAATAATATTGAATAATTTTATAATTATGAAAATTGGATAAAAATATTATCTCTTAATTTAACAAGATATTTTTTAAATAATCAATTTTATTTTGTTTAATTATTATTAAATTAAAAAAGTTATATAATATTAATTTTATAATAATTAATTAATTAATTAATAATTTAGTTATTATTTCTTATAATTATCAAATATTATTATAAGTGATTAAATTTAATTTAGTTTAACTTTTAAACTTGATATTTTGATAATGACATCAGGAAATTTCTATACCTGTTGGCAATTGATTTATAACCATGTCTATTGACAATTGATTATCAACATCTTTATAGTTCATCATTAATAAGGATTACAATCAATTGTCAGTGATTATAATTAATTATAATTGCTGACAATCGATTATAATCAAAAAT